TGGGATATTGGCAGTTGCCTGGTTCTACTCTTGGTATATATACACTTGATGCCTTTTAAGGGAACTCAGTGCCTGCAGAGTGAAAATATCCAGAAACTGAACATGTATTTCATAGACCTGCCACTTTTCTACTGTTAGAAGCATATGAGGAGTACAGGCTCCAGAGATAAATGCTTCAAATAGAAAGGAAAAGCGTTTTTTTTTTTTTTAATTTAAATTCAGAAATCTTAGATAAGATCTCCAGAACAACAGAGAAAATTACTGTCCAAATTCTTCATACAAGATAGCATTTTTGTGGTTTGTCTCTTGGCTTACACATTATTGCGAACTTTGACAAAATAAACTGCTGTCTTTGCATATACTTTGAGGTAAAACCTCCACTGAATTCAATAGTAATATCAGTAACTTTTGAAGTACTTTTTATTTTTAAAAAATTGCAGGCTGCAAAAAATGTCAAATGCCTTATCATGGTCCTGTGCTGCTGTCACAGGTGTTCTTGGTTATACACCCATTCTGTTCACGAAATACATCACATAAAACTCTCTTAAATCTTCTGTGTTACACTCCTTTTGACTGAAGACGAAACAGTCAAAACTTTGAGGGTTAAGTACATTTGAAGATAAGTACATTTCTTTGACTAAACTGTTTCTAACATTTTCCATTTCTCGACCCAGTAAAATTAGCTGGCTTTTTTCTTCAAATCATTTTTTAATATCAGAGGTCATCTTTCACATTTATCTGTATACTGCTAAAACTCCCATTGTTATGACATTTAACAGAGCAAAACAATGTATCATAGGACAACAAAGTACCACAAATGGGCTAATGTACATAATGGGAAGGGAAGGAGGAAGGAAAAAAGGAAGAGGGAGGAATGAAAAAAGGGAAGGAAGAAAAGGAAAGGAAGGAGAAACAGGGAGAAGGGAACCCAGTGTATCTTTTCTGGCCTATAACACCCCTTTACATTTCCCCAATTTATGCTCCCCGCCCCCGATGCACCTTCCTCAACCATGTGGTGTATCTTGTGCATGCTTGCATATCCTCCCTGATCCTCACCATCCCTTGTGTACTTCCATGTACAATTGCTGAGCCACACCCCAACGCACCTCCTTTCTCCCTTCCCCACATGGCAGCAACGACTTACCTGCCTGCTGTCCTTCAGTCTGCAATATCGCTAATTTTTCCATTGATTTTCTCCCTACAAACTTACCACAGACAAAGTAAATGGAGAAGTCGGCAGGAATTCTAAGGAGGAAGGGAAAGGGGGAAGGAGGAAGGAAAGAATATAAGAAGGATGCGGAAGGAAGGAAAGAAAGAGGATTGTTAATCCTCTAAAGCAGGATTTCTAATGACAATAAAGATGCAAAAAAGCAGTGGGCATGGAAGCAACATCCAACTTCTTGCAGGCTTCCCCACTGAGTTAACTGTTTTTTTGTGTTCCCATAGTCATTTTATTTCTCTGTTTAGGTAAAGAAATATCTCTAAAAGTATGACCTAACAAGGTACAGGTTGCTTAATATGGCATAAAAGATAATATTATTACACTACAATTTTAATTTGATATTTTATACTGTAACAGCAACTTGTGTGGTCTGAATAGTTTAACAAACCATAGTTAATTAGATGAACCATCATGTTCTATCCATGAAAAAACTCAGGTAATATATTTCCCCCTGTAGTTCCAGATATCTTATCTAGAATTTCTGAATTAAAAAATGTGTTCCCATCTGTTTGAAAGGATAATATACAATATTGTGAGGAGTGGGAACGTTAGAAGTTTTCTGTCACAATTTTTGAATGCCACACTGGCTTGGTTCCCTAGAACATAATGTATAGGTAGTCCTCGACTTACAACAGTTCATTTAGTGACTGTTTGAAGTTACAAAGGCACTGAAAAGTTTTTCACACTTACATCCATTGCAGTATCCCCTTGGTCACCTGATCAATTCAGATATTGGAAACTGAGTCATATTTATGACCGTTGCATATTTATGACCTGAGGACATATGATTACCTTTTGCGACTTCCAACAAGCAAAGTCAATGGGGAAGCCAGATTCACTTAACAACCATGTTACTAACTTAACAACTGTGACAAGAAGAGTCACAAAATGGGCAAAACTCACTTAACAAATGTCTCACTTAGCAACAGAAGTTTTCAGCTTAATTGTGGTTGTACGTTGAAATTAATTTTGTGTTAATGTGCGAACCATATTGCTATAGTAATACTCAAGAAACAGATATTTCAAAACCAGCATGGCACTGTATGTCAGATTTATAATATTTATTTTTAATGAATACTTCTTTTGTGTTTCACTTCTGATGTCTTTTGTATTAACTTTTTGAATTTGTGTTTGTGTGGGGCTGAGGATATTTATTTAAGCTTGTTTATGTGGGGATTCTCTGGGACTGCCTTCTCCATTTCAGATATAGGGAATTAAATGCCAAGATTGTGGATAGCTTCAACCATTTGAAAATTTATTTCTGTAGAATGAAAATAAAGCAAATTCATTCTACAATATTTTCCTTATTACTGTAGGGCTACAATATCTGGGCTGCAAAACTTTGACAATCATCATTAAGGCAGCAGAGAGTTATTGTAAACTGGTTTGGCGCTATTTAGTGGTCAGATGGATTATTGCAACCCAGATATGGTAGCGCTTGTGAAATTTATACTAATGTTTTTGTATGATATTGTAAACACACTGTGAAAGTAATAAAGTAAATAAAATAAAATTTTCTAAAAATACAACAAGCTATTTGTTTTATTCATCAAGATATACTCTTCTGTAAACTATGTGAATTTTTCTGTACATGTGTAACAAGCAATTATAGCTATTTTGGTCTATGAAAAAACATCTAAAAGTGGCAATTATTGGGTATTATTGGCACTAAAAATGGTACAAAATGGAGTACACACTTCATCTTCGATTAATTTGAAGACAAGCTTCCTGGATTGAAATAGCTAGCTAACATTTTGAATATCAAGTTGCTCTAAATCAATGATCATAATCTTCTCTCACAATACAGATCTTGTACCAGAGTTAATTACACATAAATTAAACTATCTTATTTAAAGTTAAAATATTTGTACTTATTCCAAATAATACCTCAGCTAATATATATATAACCTATAATTTACCTTTGTGGACATATTTTATTATAAGTTTCTAAGGTATAGAGCAGCATTTTTCAATTAGTTTCCATTGAAACCCTAGGTCATAATTTAAAATAAAACCCTGCTTTTTGAAATGCTAGTGCTTGCACAACCTAGTTTGCTGATGTTGTGAACATTGTAAATCATAATTTATCTAAGTTAGAAATGAATTGTATTACGAAGTGTTGTGTTTTTTGCCAGAGTTTCCTGATAGCTGAAAATTATTTCAAGGATTCTTCTAGTAAAAGAGTTAGGAAAATATGCTAGAGATATTGATTATGAAAAAAAGAGACATGAGACTGACTGGCATATCAGTTAATCTGTGTATCTGTATGTTAAGGATGTGTCTATGTGTGAGAGAGGGGGAGGGAATACAAAAATAAATTTAAATTGTGTTTTGTTATTTACATTTAATGCAATTGAAACCCTGGAAAGTACCATTATGAAATAAAATAATTACATTGGATCCAGTTGTTGATGTATCTGATTTGCAAACTGCAATCCACTTTGCAGTCTTTAGGATTCCAAAGATTTTTTCTATTTGGAGTCCACCTCTTTGTTGAAGACTGCATCCTTTCTTTGTACATGTGACAATTATTGACTTTTAGGGCAAATGTTAAGAGATGAATAAAGGGGACATTCCTTTGCACATTGATTCTATGTCTGTTTCTTGCCTTGATAATTCTTAGTTGACTAATAGCAATAGTGCTTAGACTTATATACCACTTCACAGTGCTTCACAACCCTCTCTAAGCAGTTTAGAGAGTCAGCCTATTGCCCCCAACAATTTGGCTCCTCATTTTACCCACCTCGGAAGGATGGAAGGCTGAGTCAACCTTGAATCCTGTGAGATTTGAACTGCCAAATTGTAGTCAGCCGGCAGTCAGCAGTCAGCAGAAGTAGTCTGCAGTACTGCACTATAATCACTGTGCCACCTTGGCTCGGTAATGCCATTAAGTTGAAGAGATAACTGTATCTTTTATGTTTTATTGATGTTATTATTGTTTCTATGTTTGAATGTTTCGGATTTTTTTGTTTTAATTATTGCCAATTATTTTATTCTTTTTTATTATATTGCTATAGATCTTGATATATTATATACCATATTGTTTCAGTACAATATTGTTTATTGGAAATTATTAGTTTTCTATTGTTTAGATAGTTTAGGGTGTTGAGAATAGAGAAAAGAAGAACTATTAATATTAATTATAATTTTTGGAGTATCAATGTTACATGCATAGAATTATTTGAGTTTTTCATCCAAAATTGCATATAACATTGAAACAAGAACGTCTGCAAATGACATCAAAAGTATTTGTTATATGATAAAGTTTAGATCTTAAGTTGATTACTTAGTGTTTAATATACCGTTGTATTGTATTTATACACACAAAAACACACAGAGAGACATTAATAAAGAAAATAATTAGATAAAGCATATTTTAATAAGATTAAAATACTGAGAAAGAAAAAAAAGAAAACAAAATTTTAAAAAAGGAATTACTGAAATTCTGACTTATCCCTTTTATGACATCTGCTACTTTACAATATTTATAAACCCCAATTTTCCCCAATTATTTGGGGAAAAATATTCAAACTTTCAGTTGAATATAGCATTTTGTTCTTCTAAGAAATATTTTTTTCTTAAACTGTATCTAAACATCTTTTAAGCAACTGTACTAAGTAGCATGTGATAGGTTGTTATGGCCAGAACCTGAATCCAGTTTTTAATCCATGGCTTTCCTTAAAATGAATGCATTTAAATAATGCTATCGTATATCCATATATTCAAAAAAAAAAACTATAGTATATTAATAGGGTATGTTGTGTAATGCCTTTTTTAGGGTGGCAAAATCAATGAAAGTACCTGTATATGAAACACCGGCAGGATGGAGATTCTTCTCAAATCTGATGGATTCTGGTCGATGCTCTCTCTGTGGAGAAGAAAGTTTTGGCACTGGTAAGATTAATACTCTGAAAGCATTTATTAATATTATTAAACTACAGCTCCTACTCCATTTTACAGCTCTAAAAGGACTATCAAATACATTTCTGCTGAATATATTAAACTTAGATTCTGAACTTTTAGAGCAAAAGCAAATACAGGATGTCCAGAAGACTTTTTTGATGCAACAGAAAAAGATTTGGTTCCTATATTAGCAGCATATTGGCATTTACCCCAAACAATAAAAACATGCTACATTCTACATAAAACATTTTGGAGGCTGGGAAGAACATTATACGTACAAAAACAGCAAATAAAGTGGTTAGCTCACCTGGGGAGGATGTTGTGGGATTCCATGTTGTACAAGGTATATAAAAAAAGGAGAAGGTCAAAGACCGTGAGGCAGATCCAGAAAAAGGTAGAGAGACAACATCAAAGATGCACTCCAACAACATCCATTAACAATGGCTGAGGGTGCCAGAAGAGCAAGAGCCAGAACTTTGTATCTTCCTCAACACCTGAAGCGGTAAAAGAGGAAGTAAAGAAGAAGAGAACAACAATAATGCATAAGTAAGCAGTTAATGATCTGCAAACCATTATAATGCCAAAGTGAAGGTACATGGGTGATGCCATCAGTGACCAAAGCTGCCACTGCATACTTGCCTCTCAGCATCTTATGAAAATATATAAATGGCAGCTTTTGTGTGATGAATTTAGACATGTTTCATCGTTTTGCCCTCCACATAAGTTAATGCCAATCACTACCATGAAAACCTCTATAAATAAAAATAGCTAATTCAATTTTGAGTTGGACTGCAGGATATCTAAACGATTTCTCTCTTGCCTTCTCAGTCTACTTAAAATATGAATCAGAACAGCAACTTAACCTTATATGAACATGAAATTCTAATGTGTACTTTCTGCTTGAAATGTATGTGTGTTTTTGTTCAGTGAACTGGAGTTGGTAGAAACTTAATGATGAACTCTTCCGAACTATATCGGCATGATCAGTATTTATCCATCAAACATTCTACTTTATATTTCATCCATTATACTTAGTACCTTTGGTATGTGGGCTTTATCTTTAAAAAAAAAGCATTTAAAGAATAGAATAAATAGCTGCATAAGATGAAAAAAGTGGGGGGAAATCTAGTCAATAAATTATTTATAATTATCATAAAATCCATTATTTCATTAATTAAATGCATAGAACTAAATTCATAGTATCATCTTAAGAAATAACTAAAAATCTATATAAAATTCTAAATCGTAATATTGGCATTGGTATTAATGACACCACTTGTTATGGTGCTCAGAATAAATGTACATAATCACGTTAAATGAAAGAAAAGGGAAAAAAAATCAGAAAAGAAAAAAAGTATAAAAATCAGTAAAAACATAAAATTCTAAATTTCTTCCCAGACTGACATGATTACATCAAGATACTTATAAACAGTGCAATTACTTCTATCTGTATGTTAATTACTTCCCTTTACATATTCTTAATGTCTGAGTTTGCCTTGTTGTATAATATAGGACAAGGGTGTCAAACTCACGTCGTCACAGTGGCATCATGTGATGTATTGGGACTTTTCCCCCCTTCGCTAAACTGGGCGTTGGCGTGGCCAGCATGGATGCATCCGGCACGCGGGCTGGGAGTTCGACTGCCCTGATATAGGATATGTAGGGGAACCATTCTCGCTTATATTTAATAAAAATGTTTTTTTTATTTTTTGTGCTTTTTGTTAGTGTTGATTTCTGACATCTGCCTGGATTAATCCCTGTAGTTTCCTTGGAAATTTTCCTTGGAGATTATTTGCTCTTGTCTTCTTCCTAGGATTAAGAGAAAATGTCTGGCCCAAAACCACTCAGCTAGTTCTGTCCTTAAGGCAGCACTAGAACTTCTAGTCTCCTGGTTTCTACCCCATTGCCTTGAACCATTATACCAAATTGCAGTGGTGGGATTCAGATTGTTTTACCACCGGTTCGGTGGGTGTGGCTTGGTGGGCATGCTTTGCCTAATGCCCGTGCACAGCTTTTCCCACACCAGCTGACGCCTGCAGCGCCAATCGCTGAGAGGATAAAGAAGAGAAAAGCACGGGGGCGGGTGGGAGGGCTGATCCTGCGCTTTTCTTTCTTCTCCCAGCTGATTATCTGAGGCTTTTTTCCCCTCCTCTCAGCTGATCTTTGGAGGCTTTCTTTGGCGAATGGCGAACCAGTCCGAACCAGTAGAATACCACCACTGCCAAACTGGGTCTCTTAAATGCCTGGAGTTTTAAAAATGCAACCAATACATGTGATAAAGGATTAGAAAGGGGACCAGTCTGGAGAAGTGGAAGTTTATTGTTTTATGTGTGTTGCATAAGCAAAAACTCAAATTGTCCAAATCCTAGTCTACTTTTACTATAGTGAGAATATTCTCACATATTTGGGAAGTACAGTAATTTACTGAATAGCCGTATCTCTGTTTCCAATCCAAAGGAGATTATCTCTTATCATATAATATGTTTACTATTTTTTCCATAGGATCTGACCACATCCGAGAGAAAGATGGACTTTGGGCTGTTTTAATTTGGCTCTCAATTATAGCAGCTCGAAAGCAGGGCGTGGAGGAAATTGTTAGAGATCACTGGACAAAATTTGGCCGTCACTATTATTGCAGGTGAAGAGTTATCAGCAGAATGATAGCCATTTTAATTCAAGTTTTTGCAACATCTGTTTTATGCCTTTAGAAATAACGATAAAAGCAGTTACAATTATGACTGTGCGTGTGTCAAACCGCAAACCATTCATTTCAATTTTTGCAAAAACTACAATATCGGCTTGTACTGCAGCATAGAAAAATGGTAATCATTGTAAAGTGAACTCTTGCATTCAGATATAAGTTGAGTGCTATTAATTTATAGCCAAGACATTTTTAAAAAATTACCAGCAGCATATTTCAAAAAATTCAAAACCAGACAATATTGGTATTCTAAAGCTAAAAGTATTAAGAGCATTGATGTTTTATTTGTGTATTATTTAATTTTATTGAACTTCTATTTGCATTTTATTATAAAAGGAAAATCATGAAATAGATAAACATTGTCCCATAATTATAACATTAAAGTTGTAGTAGCTTCATTTATACCAGGGGTGTCCAATTTTGGCAACTTTAAAACTGTGGACTTCAACTCCCAGAATTGTATAGCTGGCTGAGGAATTCTGGGAGATGAAGTCCACAAGTCTGCCAAGGTTGGGCATCCCTGGTTTATGTCATCATGCTGTCAGGGTTCCAAGTAATACACCCATAGCAAACAAAACTCCGAGGCAAGTGGGTTCCTCAAAGAATAGTTTTATTGGACATATCATATTGGCACAAGCTGGTGAAAAATGACTCTGAATACTCCCATGGTTTTCACCAAATTAAAAGTAAAAGTTTCTCCCCTTTCCCAAACAATTGGTCACATGGTTCAGTCCAGTTGCCTGGTGAAATTGCTCCTCCTCTCTCCAGCCACCTGTGGGTATGTCCTGCTTGTATTGCATTTCTAATTTTCTGACATGGCACCCACTCTTCAGACTATCCTCCCCAAGATCAGACTTTCTCCAAACCTCTGGCCTTTCACAAGGCACTAAAGCTTGGCTTTGCCATCAAAATTGGAGCCTTGATAGTGTGGGTGAGGTGTTTCTCAGCTGAATTATTGTGGAAAGCTTGGTTTCTACTTCTTATGTATTTATGTGTTTAATTGCTGGTTTTGTTTTTAATTTTGTTTCTATCCCATTTTAACTGTCAGCTGCCAAGTCATATAAATAGAGCCGTAACAGATTTCATAAATAAATAATACATATTAATTTTTCACATGTTTCTTTTTTGCAATACAAGATTTGATTATGAAGCACTGGATCCTAGAATGGCATACTACATAATGAGAGACCTGGAAGCCTTGATCACTGACAAATCTTTCACTAATCAACAGTTTGCTGTTGGAAACAATGTTTACACTGTGCAGAAAGCAACCAACTTTGAATATGTGGATCCCGTAGATGGCACTGTGACCAAAAGACAGGTATGCCCAGGAGATTTTTTTTTTCACATAACATGACATCATTGAAAGAGGAAAATAACTGGTAAGAACGAGGACAAGACTAAGATAATTGAGAACTTGCATAATTTGTCGCTTTTGCTTTAACCTTCACTGCCAGCAGCAACAACTAGATCTGCAGATTCCAAACATAGCAACTGGGAAGAGAAATAGAAATGTGCATTATTTTTAACTTTTGCTATTATAAGTGTGACAATTTTATTAATGGAAAATATCTCCAAGGCCCAAATAGTAAGCGAAATCATTTCTATTTTAATTAGCAGACAAGTCAAACAATTCCAATTGTACATATATGTGTGTGTGTGTGTGTGTGTGTGTGTGTGTGTGTGTTTTCTTAAGTTTTTGTGGGTACTTACATGTATGGTATTCAGCTTTGTTCGGGTATTTTCCCACGTCATTATAGTTGTGCTTTTAAAGTTGTAGCAACGTTTCGGCAGAATCTCATCTGCTATCATCAGGCTTCTGTATTGTG